TATCAACAGCCTAAACCTACTTTTTATCTATTTTGTTTCTTGCCTTTGAATTCAGTTTTGATATTTGTTGATCTGAAGTGCATAAAAAACATACATATCTTGAATGAGGAAACAAGTTCAAACTGTCAAAAGAAAAGACCATCATTTTAATTATGGTTATTTGATGCAAAATTCCTCAAGAGATGAAGGAAGTATTAAACACCTGAATTTTTTATTATTAAAATGCAATGAAGCTGAAAATTTTTTTTACAGATGCCAGTTAAATCCATGTGGTATTTCTGGATGAATAAAAGATGAATTATGTATATTTATCCGACGAGTTTGATTTTTGAATTCTGTGGATTAATGTCAATGAATTTAAGAATACTTGCCAAAAATACTCAGTATCTAACTGTAGGCCTCATGTCTTTGTGATTGAATGGTTTTAAAATCTGTTTAGCTGGGAATAGTGGATGCTTTAAATGTTCGGTATGCTTCAAGTAATTTTGGTCATCAGTAATTCCCCTTCAAATCTGGCTTCAAGCAGAGAACTTGCCAAATTATAGGCTCTAATAATATTGTGATGCTCTAAGGTGTTTTTGAACAGAAGTTCTTTTTACAGAGTACAGTATGTGAAAAAAGTGTCTTGGTGTTTCTAAATTTCTGAATGCTAAAAACAGTAGAATATAGTATTCATCAAATTAAAATTCATCATGTAACTTGAAATTTGATTTGATTTGATGAGAAGGTGCTGATGTCCACTAAATCCTGCGATAATTTATCAGCGGATTTGACAATGACAGACCGGGAAGTTTGAAGCTGGTTCAGCTTTGACGACCTATCTGATGAATCGGGAGCCTGTATGATTGAGCAATAGCTATAGTAGCGATTGCAATGGCAATGCTGTAGTGACAGTGTTTGTTTTTTGAAAGTCAATCAGATTTATAGAGTGGCTATTGTCTTGTTTGATATATATTTAATTTGCCTATATATTTAATATGTCATTAATATAGTTAATATAATTTGATATTAGATCCTTCAGATTGAACAAACTCAATCACAGAGTATTGTTGAAATAAATAAATAGGGCCTACATATTACTTCTTTTTTTTGGGGTTTAATCAAATAATCATTTAATCTGACATTGTTCACTTCATTCATAGACAAAATCCATTCCGGTTAATGCCAGATGCAGTGAGCGTTTGGGAGAACGAATACGATTGGTGGAATGTGTGGATGACCAGGGACAATCAGTGTCAACTGAAAACTGCATCTATCGACTGTCAGGTAAGAGCATCATTTGCATATCCACCTGTATTTTAAATTAAAATTTTATCTACAGAGCTTGGTACTAACATTAACAAGTTTGATAAAAAGTTTTCAAATAAGTTAAATATATGTTTTTTTTTAAAAATTACATTGCTTATAGTAATTCATATGCAAAGTCATATGCTTAGTAAATAATCAATAATGCTATTAATGTTTTTTTTATATTGTAACTTTCAAATGGCCTATTTATGCCTTTTGAAATATGAGTGAATAATTAAATTATATAATATAGTCTTTATATGAGCAGATTTTATTATTTAAAAAAATCCATATATTAAAATATACTGACAAAATTGTTATTCAGTCAATTATGATCTTCCAGTATGGAATGATAACTGCAGTGCATCCTTCAATTTGAGACCCCTCTAATTCCGAGACCCCTGTAATTCGAGACCACTTTTCCAAAGACCCTAATAACAATCTTCAACCTTTTAACACAAAGCTAGCCCTCTAATTGGAGGCCAACCCAGAGATCACCTAAAATTTTCAGGTCCCTAGGGTGGTCTTGAATTGGAGGGCGAACTGTATCAGAAAAACTATACCATATTTAATTTTTACTATTATATTAAAGATAATTTTGGAAAGAAATTTTATCAACGATGTATATAAAATACAAAAGTAATGTCATTAATTTTTACATTAATTAAAAAAAAAACCATTACAAAAATACCAAAGATGATGATATTTTGTTGTGTTGTTTTGTTGGTACTGTAGGTTTATTAATAATTCATTGTTGACAAAATTCAGCCATTTCTTTTCATTACAATATCATAATTCTTGATTATTTGCACAAGTTTGCTGTTTAATTAACATATTGTTTTTAATTCTATGTTGTGTCTACCATACTTAAAAAACCAAAATGTAAGTTTATACTTTTTAAAGTTGAATGACTAATGCACTATATAGACTAGAGTGCTTGGTACATTTTCACCTTGAATGATTTAAATATTCAAAATCTTTTTATTGCTTTCATATTCAATGATATCGATATCTTTCTTTCTTCGAGTAATAAAAGGAGTTATAAATTTAAGACTAGTGCTACTGTACTCATGCATGAAAGTAAAGTATTGTGGGTCAGCCAGGATTCGAACTGATGTCATAGTGGTTTAGTGGTTAAGGACACACTAAAGTTGTAGTTTGAGTCCTGGTTGGGACACAAGTTTAATTATCATTCACAGGTTTTAACTGATTATCAGTATTTTGCTGTAGTCTGCGTATTCATACATGCATACTTAAAAGAGGGAGTTTCAGTTGGGTAGAGGTATGTTGTGGGGTGTGTTATGGGATGTGATATGGGCTGTGTATGAGCATGCAGGAATGTGCATTTTTTAAAGGCATGTACTGTAACACAGGCCTAGTGACGATAACAAATTTCCTTAGAAAAAAAGTATTACCAAGAAAACATCCGGTATACATAATTCTCAGTTGCAGTTATTTATAAACTTGAAAAGATTATTGAAGAAAGTGACAAATCGTCTTAAAACTGAAAGTTGAAGTGACATGCACTTCATCAGAGCATACCTTTTCCAACGACTCATTTTAGAAAAAGATTGACTACTCCAGACTTCTAGACTATTAAGCTAAATTAATATTTCAGTAGTAGAAAGTACAGTATGTTGACAAAGGCCCATTGTAAGGCCTACAGCTTTAAAATTGTGTATTATTAATAAATTATACTGTACTGAACCATTTTCTTTATAATTGTTCACTGTAGTGTGTGCAGCACACAACATCCACAGTCTACTTTATATTTTAGTACTCATAGGAAATTGAGTGGTGTTAGCTGGATGAGTTAGGGATACGTGAATTGGTTAATTTTTAATGGAAGTGGGGACACAAATTTTTTCTGGGTTTGCATCCCCACACTCCCTCTTAGCTTAGATAAACCACTGCATAGCAAAACCATTGAACAAACCAATAAACCAACAACCTTTTGACCAGTAGACCTGTCACCAACTTCCAATCAATCATAGTTGGATGGTCGAGTGGTTAAGGCAAGGGCGCCGCAACGTATAGCCATAATATCGGTGCTGGTTCAAACGGCATGCTGGTCTATGGTTCTGTTTGTGGAACATGACTCCTCAGTTACAAGGACGATAAACCGTAGGCTTACTGTATGTGTACACAATCTGGCTCGTGTGCACTTGAAAGAATCCAGTACAGTACATCTTCAAGATGAGTAGGGGGTTGCGCTAGCATACTGGTCCATTCACATTCATGCTGTGCACAGATGAGATTAGCTAGTACTGGTTTACCAGGTAGCTAAGACACATAGAGACCCTTAGGGGTCAAGCAAGTTACTGTAAGAGGTAGTCTTACACCTCAAGCACTTTGAGACCATTTCGAAATAAAGTGAGCAATATAAATCTACATTACATTTGGCAAAATACACTGTTTTTGAAGGTCTTTATTATTAATACAAGTAGTTGTAGATATGTCCATTGTGTCCTTGAACAGTACTGTCACACCGTAACAATTTGTATGCAATTCTGATGTGGAATTAATATATAGCTTTGTTTAGTTTTATGTCATCCATCCTGTATGACATGTAGTACAGTAATCTCAACACATAGTGATTTATTGTAACCACAGATAGGTCCTTAACACATTGGCTGCCAGCGACGAGTATACTTGCGCACAGGGTATTGCTGAGGGCACCAGAAACAAGTATACTCGTCATAATCGGGGTAAAATTCTAGCGTTTATAACTTCTTTGTTGTACATTGTAGAACCACAGACTCAACGGCTGGTAGTTCGGGGAAGATACTGTACACCTAGACGATAACTTACAAATGACGTATGTGTAGTTGTGTTGTGCTGCCGGTAGTACACTGGAGCAGCACAAGTGGGGGCACCCTTTGAACATACAGTATACCAATCCATGCAAAAAGTGAACGAGATAACTTCCACTTGACATAGTCAGTAAAAAGTGCTATCACAGTGCCGTTGACGAATTTATTAGACACATCATTTCGATGATATATGACTAGATAAAATTTCAAAAAGTATGTTTGTACATGTAAACTTGTTTTAGCACACAGAAAGAAACCTTAAAAAAAGGTGTGGCAGTCAACGTGTTAAATACACATTTTAAAAATTATATTTAATATTGTGATACTTTTGTATGATTTTTAAAAGCTTTATAGTATTTTTTGTTTTGAAAGATTAGATTAACAAGTAGGATGGCTATAGCATGCCATCAAAACAATAATAAAACACCTCCTTCCGTATATCGCTATAAGGGGAAGCCTTTTGGCCGTGAAGTTGGAGAAATGTATCTTTTAACACTATGGCCAACCTTTCTTCAAGGGGCACCCCTATATAAGGAAGGGTACAGTTTCTTCACTTCCTAAGGTGTCTCCTTATTGGAGTTCTAGTCCTTGTTAACGTGGTTTCTATTGTTCTACCTTCCATCATTGTAGTGTTTGATTGTTTCCTTTTCAAGTGAATACTGGTTGTCATATAATGTCATTATTCATTAACTTAAAATAATGGACTATTTTAAGCACTCAAGTAATACCAATCATGAATTCGCCTGTGGGCTGAACTTCATTTTTAAATTGCCGCAATACAAATACTGGCGATTTAATGGTTTGAAAAATTGGCTGCAATGTCGCCGTTGCTCATAGATCTTGGCCAATCTCTTTATAGTATCTTGTCTGAATTTTTCTTGTTTCTGCCCTGCTTGGGTTTCCCTTAAATTTCCCCTCCAGATTATCAAATCATTACAATAGATCTTTTTACGTTCTACTTACAAACTTAATATTAATGAAGGGATTTGATTGGCTGTCCTGACATTTTTCAAGATTGAACCAATGAAATTTGAAGGCAAGCATCTTGACCTCTGAATGACATGTCATGTTTGGTTACTATAAAGACATGCACTACTACTGTACTATGAGGAATATTGATTTTTATTATACTGTATATATATACATAAAATCAATTAGCATATTTTGAATAAAATTAACTTGATATGAGATGCATGTTCTGTTGTTGCCACACCAATTCTGTTTGTTAATATGCAAGATGTATTCACAGTTCTGTGAATTGTAATCATTGTTTATTATGGTGATATTAATTCATCTAGTTGTATTTGTGGCAAGCATATAAACAGATGCCAATAACTGTTGATAATTTAACTTTCCTATCTATGAAAAACTATGAAGAAATCCTAAAAAAATATAATCATTTAAATGGCAAACTTCTTTGAGACAGATTAAATAAAAAGTTTTCACTAATTTTTGGACTTAACTACAAAAGTTCTTAAATTGATTACAATTACGCTTTTTACAGTCTATGCAATCTATGCAAAGATTAAGGGAACAGTGTCTATTTCGGCCACGAAACTATTTTAAAATTTCAACTGAAATCTAAATACCTAGGCTTTAGCATATATATAGATACAGAAATATAGGTAAATAATATACCTGTCTCTTATACACATCTAGATGTGTATAAGAGACAGATATATATATATATATATATATTTACATTACATAGAGAGGTGTCCTTGTATATATACATTGTATGTGTATATTCGTGTATTATATAATAATACTATACATAAATCATGTTGATAAAAACCATGTACATACAAAAAGAACATATGCATACACCAAAGTTAGATTTGTTTTTTCCATTCAAGGTTAGATTCGTCCGATGTTTCGTATAATAGAATTTACTGTACAGTATTATCTGATTTGTTGTTCTGGGGTTTTCCCATATGCTCATAAACATATTATTGTATAACACTGGTATATAAAAATAATTTTTATATCCATTGTCACAAACACAATATACACCACCATTCAGCTGTCAGGTATGCTCTCTAAATTTGAATTAGAAAGAACTACATTTATTTGCTGATCCATTTAATTATTAGTGACAATAAAAACCAGATTTGCTAGTACTGTAGTAAAAAAAATGAAGTAAAATCATCCTGTCTTTACTGCTACTATAAGCATTCTTAAAAGAAATGTTTTACTTCTCAAACATAATACCTAAAATGATTGTAACAGTTTCTGGTGATAAGTACGTAATATGGGGTCATTAAACATTTTCGTCTTCTACTTATTTTGTTTCCAACTTTCTTGAATCTAAAAGAGGCTAGTGGAGTACTGTCATGTTTGACATGTATATTTTATTGGTGATTTTATTTGCAAAATGTAAAATACAAATAAGTTAAGTAAACACTTAAGCACATTATGTAGCCTTGGAAAGGGATTTAAAGCTTTGAGTGCTGTACTCATGTACTTGATGTTTCAAGTTGTTTATCTTGTTAATGACAGTTGCCTTTTTGTAAGTCTATCTACAAGAAGTGAATCTTCTTCTTGATTCTTGTTTTGATTTATGCTGATCTTATTTTTAAATTTTTTATACAAATACTATATATCTTTCAAAGATCTATGTGTGCTAGTTTGAAAAAAAAATTATGAATTAAATTTTTAGTTCAAATGTCAAAATTAGTTTAAATTGAAGGAATTTAGTTTTACTGATTTACAAACCTTTTTGTAGAATATGAATAAATTGATTACTGTTCTAGCCATTTCATATTCTATGTATTACCACAGACAGTTGGATTTTAGTGAAGGTTACCCATCAAGCTAGTCTAAAACGTCACCTGAAGTTTAGGGCCCATTACATCACAGCATATATATAGCGTTGTTTCATGAAGATCAGAGCGCACAAAGCATGGACTACAGTGGCTTATACAGTAACTCTCCCCTAATGGTGTCTTCATGTCTTAGCTTCCTGGCAAACTGTTATCAACTACACTTGTCTGTCCACAACAGAAGCTGTATGAACCAGTACACTAAGGTAGTCCCTACTTGTCTCATAAGATGTACTGGGTTCTCTAAAGTGCAAATGAGCTAATTGTGTATACTAGGCTTACGGTTTATAGTTCTTATCCGAGAAGACTTGTTCCACCAACAGAACCATTGGCGAGCGTGCCGTATGAAACAGCGCTAATATTATGGCTGTAGGTTGCAGCACCATTCGACTCGCCATTCTTAAGCTCAGTCTACACAGTGACAATTTTGTGTGATGTGCCCATATATGGGTGTGATGATGTCACATTACAACCGAATATGGGCATATCATATTTTTTTGTCGCATAAAATCTAATAGTGTGGAGAGAGCTTTAAAGAATTGATATAAATACATTTAAGAAGACTCATTATTATTATAATATCACATGCATAGTTACAATTATGATGTAGATCATATAAACTATCTACGATAAATACAGAATGCCTGGAGTATTAGTAATAAAGTAGGAATGAGATTGCAATTAACTACGAGTTTTTAGTAAAGTCTTGAATATTATTATTTCATAATTGTCCTAGGCGACTGGTTGCTTTAATTTGATTGATTTCTTAATTTTATTTCATATACATCCAAAAGAGAGTGACTTGCCAATTAAGGATTGAAATGATGCTTTATAAACTAATGCCTTGTTCGCAGTGGATCAATTTTGACTAAGATGGATGGTAACTGTACCCTGGCTAAATCATATCCTGTTCAAACTAGGAATTAAATATAGATTTACTCCCTAAACGACAGATCATCGCATGTGGTCAATCTAATTGTGGTTATATTTTTGCAAGAAAAGTAGAGATGCGAAGAGTAGTCTGGTTTTAAAGTCCTGTCCACACTGTCATTTGACAAAAACATGTGACATGCCTAAATATGGTTATGATGTATAGGCACATCATGACCATATATAGGCATATCATGACTATATATGGGTATATAAACAGTTTTTTGTCAAAGAAAATTTGATAGTCTGGACAGAACCTTAGGAGCAGAATGAGAAAAACATCAAAATATGGTTTGAAATGTCAAAAATGCAAAGATGGATGATTTGTTCTGTACCACCTGTGGTGCATTATTTTGTTCTTTTTCTGGCCTTTTTGGCTTAGTCAAGCCATTAGCCTTGGCACCACTCTCTTCCAATTCAGCCTCTCACAATTATAATTGATCAAAGTATTTATTTATTGTTTTGTTGATTGGTTTGAGGTCTTTCTTTTAATATTTGTTCGATTCATGTGTGTTTAGGTCTTTCTCTGTTTCTTTTGCTCTCCTCAGGTGTTTTGTTTTCTTCTTTCAGAAGGACAATTTTGCTGTTATGTATCAACAAAACCCTTTTTGGTCAGGGTGATAGATCGAGGACCATGTGGGCGGGCCCCTTTTTGGCCCCTTTTTGGGGCTGCGGACCGCAGCAGGAGAGCGCATAGGCCTTAAGCCACTGGGAGTTGGATTCGTCGTACAACCGTCATAGAACGTAATGAGTGTCTGGCTTTAGCCTTCACAAGCATTGGATCAAGTAATGGTTAGATAGAGATTAGTGTTTACTCTTGTAGACTTGAATAGTACGTTTACACTGTAAGACTTGAATAGTACATTTACAACACAGCATGCCTTTAGTAATGTTTGTTTAGTACTGTGTATAACTCTTCTCAATTTGTATGACAGTGATAATAATTGTTTTATTTTTATAGTACATATGGCACTGAATGACTCCAGCTTTTTATGAAAAAAGGGGAACAAAACATGGAATGCTCGAGAATGGATTATAATAATATTATCATCCACTCTCGAGCATTTCTATGTTATTTACTATAAAAATATTTACATACTACATTTTGTAAATAATTGTAAATTATAATAATGTGCTATTTATATAGCATATTAAACTGTAGACCTACTCAACTGTATGCACATAGATTAAAGGGAAAAAACAAATTCAAAAGAAATATATGTTATCATTTTCATCATAAAAGACATCAAACTCTTCCTCAGTATCACTGTAGTTTTCGTCTTATTATATTCTCAATTATTGTCAGCATCATCACATTTATAATTCTTCATTAGGCTCACACAAATTATGTTGCCCTCTGCTGTCATTATTATCTTTATGAACTTAATCATCATCATTATCATCAGTGTAATCATTATCATCATGTCATTATCACGTCCTTATCATCTTCATCATCATAATCATCATCATAATTATCATAATCATCATCATAATTATTATCATTATCACCATCATGATTTTCTTCTATGTCATCTTACCACCAACCATACTACTACAGGTATTACACTACCTCTGTAAAATAATTAAGAATGGTTGAAAGAAATGGATGGAAGCCAAATGTAAATGATGTTTGAAACTGCGTCATGAACAATAGTTTTATGACTTGATCCAGTTCAATCATAAACAGATGGATATCCAAGCAAAAACTAATTTATTAAGATAATACTTAGAAATGCTCATAACAACTACTGTACATTATTGGTGATTATTAATAGAGATCGGAAAACATTTACCTGTGCGTTAAACAACAGACATCATTCTCATGAGATAAGGTAATTCAGTGAAACATCAGGTAATGTTCATTTAACAGTAGTTCAATCCAGTTAGCGGCTTTTTGTGGATTGTTTTTTCTTCTTTTGATATCTGCAATGGTGCTATAGTCATTATCATGTTGTTTGATGATATGATGAAAGCAATTTTTTTTTATTGAGACAGGCTGTCTGAACCATAATGCAAAGTTGATTGAAAGAGTCTGAGGTTGTGGAAATGTTGTTATCTGAAGAATATTGCTAATAGGATGTAACTATACATAATTATCAGTATTAATTCACTTTGTCAGAGAGAAGGTTAATGGTTTACATTTACTGTAGAGCCTCAAGGTGCAATTCTGAGTTTTGCTATTATTTATTTTAAAAACATAAAGGGGGCCCAGGGGGACTTTGTACAGATGGAGGGTCTATACCACCTCAACCCCAGGTAAGAAAATTTATGATTATGGCACCTCTAGATGGCTGGAAATGGCAATTTCAGACTTGAAAATTGAACATATTTTTCTATTTTTCTCAATTATAAAAAAATAATTTTCACAAATTTAGGGAGTCGGGGGCCCGGGCTGGCTGGGGCCATTTGAATCATTCCCCTGAAGTAATACTTTACATAACTACTACTACTACTACTGTTAGGAGGTTATTCTGCAATTTATATTCTTGTAAATCTAGTAAATAACAAAACAAATAGAAAATGTGAAGAAATGGCTTAATAGAAATAGCCTGGCCCAAGGTAATTTAACAAAAGGACGCACATCTCAGGACATCAAAGGTTATAACTCTGGCATCGACATTCTAGGCGCACGTGCGTCCCTACACGCTGAACGTCACAAAAACCATAGCAGCCAGACCATAAACCGTCAGCGTACGTGACGATTTACCCACGCGCGTGTTAGTTGCCATGTTAGTCGCGCGTCGTAAATATAGTAAATTATTACAGTATTATTTTATAATATGAAATAAAAGATTAAATGAAATTAAACTATACAGGCTGCTAAATGTATTATACAATATTATACACAGGAACGCACATCATGTTAGACACAGAACGCGCATCGCGTATGAAACAAAATGGCTTCTAAATTCTCAATGTCGCAACTCTTTCTATCTATGGCTCTGATTTGAATCATCCCCTGAAGTAATACTTTACATAACTACTACTACTACTACTACTACTGTTAGGAGGTTATTCTACAATTTATATTCTTGTAAATCTAGTAAATAACAAAACAAATAGAAAGTGTGAAGAAATGGCTTAATAGAAATAGCCTGGCCCCACCCTAATCATTGGTAAAACTATTATATAATAAAATCATATTTATTTCTTCGATAAAACATCTAAAATACAATGACAAGCATGACAACAAGATAGAAATACAAGCACTTTAAAAAATGTGTAAAAAGTCATTGTAACTTGACTGGATTGTTCAAAAGTAAGAACAAGTTTTAACTGTCTTAGAGCTCTTCCAGTTTGATTTGACATAAATTTTAAACAAATATGCAAAGTTTAAAATGATGTTTTAAAATTCATTATAAAAATGTGGATATAAAATTATATTTGGCAGTTATGCACAGTTAAAAGAAAGTTTAACAATGAGAAAGTAACTTTCAATGAAAAATTGACAGTCATTTTAATAATCAGTACTTAAAAGCTCTAAAATTTTTAATATAAATTTCTGTCTAAAAATTTTATCTGTCTGTCATTAAAAAAACTGTACAATGCTGTTTTTTTTATGACATGTTGGCTATTGTCTGGGTACAAGTTCAAAAGTTTGGATTTTTGAAAATACAACATGTTGGCTCACTCATAGTGTAGCCTGTGAGAAACATGATGCATACAGTTTCTTTGATGTTTTTTGTGGAAACATCATATTAAAAAGAAACAAAAATCTGTCATTTGTAACATACATTGTTCATTGTTACTTGTAATACAGCTTAATGAAATGCACCTGACTTATAAACAAATTCTACTGTTAGTGAAGATTTTAAGTTTGTTAGCATTTTTCTGACATCTAACAAACATAAAAAGACTTTGATCAGATTTTTTAAAACAGCAAATTAGATTTACTAAGTAAAAGGTTTCAATCTGTCTCAATGGAACTTATAGATCCTTTTATAAGAAACAATTTCATTTTTTTATTTTAATTTTTAACTTCTGTTTAAAAACCATAATGTGCATGATTTTTAGTGGTTTTCTACTGTATGTCTTAAAAGGTTTCATATCAAAGATAAAAGAAAATGGCATAATAAAATTATGTATAGTTTCATGAGGTGTCCCCTATTCTAGTATATAATAGAATGTAGGATATGAGAAGTTCCATAAAAAATCTATTTATCTCTTGATGATGGAATTTACATATCATATATCTGGTAGAGGATATATTCCTATAGACTCTCCAAACATAACTGTACTATATAATAATAATAATCATATGTTTTATATGACTTACATAGCGCCTAATGCCAACAAGTCAACATCTAAGCATTTCGCGTTATTACCCCTGGTTATTGGATTAATCGCGATGGAGCACATACTCAGGTCCTTAGAAAAGCAGAACAGCAACTGCTGTGCTAAACTGCAGTGCTATATTTTTATTAACATATAAATATGTGCTCACAGAAGGCTCATGAGGCAAAGGGTATAGTCCAGTCCGAAATGTATATCATCCGAAATATCAGAGGTTGCATTTTTTTTTTGCTATATTTAAAAAAAATTGGATATGATGTAGAGTAGACATTGATAAATCAAAAAAGTATGTGCAACATTTTTTTTTTCATACGTAAGGGGGGTTGCCAGCAATTTCAAAATGGCCGCCATTTTTTCCTAAAATTGTCACTAATATTGTAAGTTTATGTCATTCAAATGTAGCATTCAATTGGAAATTCACTCATAACAATGACAACAACAGGTAACTAAATATTGTACACAATTTTGAGCTATTACAATTTAAAATGGCTGCAATTTTCCATTATTTTAGCTTTTTAGCATACATAATAATAACTAATCAGTACTGTAAAACAAAAACGTGTGATAGAGCTAGTTATATGCAGTTGCCATATGCTGTTAATGGTTATTACATACATATATATATATGTGTATATATATATGTATATATATATTGAAAGCATACTGAAAAAACAACAATCAGCAATAGCTTGATATCTGTCTCTTATACACATCTAGATGTGTATAAGAGACAGGCATGTAACTAACTCTATCACAGTTTTTGTACAGGTCGGTTATTATTATATTAATATGTATGCTAAAAAGCTAAAATAATGGAAAATGGCAGCCATTTGAAATTGTAATAGCTCAAAAATGTGTACAATATTAACTGTTTATTTATTAGCTGTCATTGTTATGAGTGGATTTCCAATTGAATACTGCATTTTAATGACATAAATTTACAATATTAGTGACAATTTTAGGAAAAAATGGCAGCCATTTTGAAACGGCTGGCAACCCCCCTTACGTATGAAAAAAAAATGTTGCACATACTTTTTTGATTTATCTATGTCTACTCTACATCATATCCAATTTTTTTAAAAATATAGCAAAAAAAATGCAACCAACCAAAGTTTGCTGGACTAGTAGGTGAGTACTCTCCACTCTAAAGCAATAAAAAAGGAGTTGATATCGTAGATTAAAATAGGCCTGCATTTTGTCCAGTATAAATTTTCAGTAATCTGCAGATTATTCTTGCCCCCTTCTCTACAATTACGATGTTAACAGAAGTATATCATCAGCATTGATCAAATAGCTATCAGCCAGAAGAAATGTCCTGAAAAAGTAATTTAAAGAACTGGATCATTTGCAAAGAATATCTATTACCTTTATTAACACTGTTTCATCTTTTGACATAATATGTGGCAAAGAGAAGCCAAACCAGTCACTTGTCGCAAATTGTGTTTCAGGGATAATGGCCAAAACATGCTGGAATGTCAAAATTTCTGAAATCCATTTTTTTGCACTAAACTAACCATTATATATCTATACATCATGCTCTGTTATTATTTTCTCCAATTTCAATGTTAAAACAACAATTAAAACTCCTGTAACTTCATGACGAAATGTCAGATTTAAATGATTCTTTTACCATTTTATAGCTCACATTTTACTGTTTAACACATTATTAATAACTGAAAATTGATTTATGCGAAGAGTGACTGGTTTGGCGTGTCTTTGCTATTTATAGTACACATTGTAATAAACACAGTGTACTTTACATTATTACCTTCGGTCATTAGATCAAGTACCTAATGAACACATTCTCATCTCTCAGGAGAGCATGATTCCATAGACATCTAGAATCAGCACTCATCATTTTTTTAAAAATTCTGTCAGTTTTGCTTTGTAAAGAATACTCCATCAACACCGCTT